GCAACCATTAACATCCAGTCTTTGTGCTAAGCTAGGCTAGCGGTGGGTGCGTCAAACAGACTTATAGCACGCACGGAGATGAAAAAGGTATGTATGGACTTATCTAACTCTGGGGGATAAGGTGAATAGGCTAAAGTCCCAAAAAGTCGGAGTGTTCCTTTAACTCATTCTTATACACCAAAGTCATCTGTAGCAACTCCAACACAAGCAGCATTAAATAAATGTGTGAATAAAGGAGGATAAAAATAAAAATAGCCGAGCTCCCATCACGGCGCCCATTTCTCTCTCAGTGGCCGAGCGCTGGGACGACTGAGGAGTTAATACAAAACTAATTAGCAAAAATTGACTGGTGCCAACCCCCCTTTGCCATTTCCTGCCTCACTACACAGGGGGACAGCAGTAAGCCCAGAGCACAGGTGTACCGCTCACGCCGGCTCTAGATTACTGCCCACTGCCTCCGTTCTCGAAACCCTTCACCGCGCTCCCCAGGCCGCCGTTATGTCAGAGAGGAAATGGAGTGTGATGAGCTGCATTTTAAACGAATTTTGCATCTTTTGCACATTGGAAAAGAAAGAAAGACAATCGTTGTAGAAGCACAACAATAGTCGACACTGAAAGAGATGCATTAATGCACAGTCGACATTGTTGACATCTAAAAACCCTGCGTTGGGCGCCAACTAACATTGTCCAAATCTGCTAGGAAAGATCGACACTGACAATGCACATTAAACGGATTACACGAATTTGCCTCGCAATCAGGTTTAGGAGAAATATACCCACTAAAGGCAAGTGGCTGTGCAACAAACATCTTACAGTATTTCCCGTCCCAGAACCATCTGCTTCGTTTAATCCAATCACATTGCAGAAGGAAAAAAAAAAGTTCAAAAGGAGGTCAAATGCAATGATATTAAAACTGACTGTGCTGAATCCCATCATTGGATCCAAGCTGGTCCTTCATCACTGCGTCTCTGCCAGGGTGGTGGAGGGGGGTTTGTTTGCACAATCCGGGCAGAAAAGTCATAACATGACAATGTATTTTTGTGAATGGCCGACAACCTCATTTTTAATGAATGGTACTGTGTGAAAGAGCACAGTGGCATGGTCATTGTTGCAGTAACAGGGCCGGTCGGTGGGATTTAGCGGGCAGAAAGCAGGGGAGGATGGGTGCGAGGGGGTGGGGTGGTCCCAGCCCACAATGTGTACTGCAGTAACCACAACAAAGGTTGTGGTTTATCCCACAATCGCCTTAAATAGATCCAAATTATTGTTATTCCTCAGCCTGTGGAAAGGAAGAGAAATATAAAACGGCTGTAACACAAGATGTGCCAAAAGTCAGCCTGAAGATATCAGCGGATTCGGTTACTGGCATTAAAAAAAAAAAACTGTAGCCCTTGACCGGCTTTGCCTCGGCCCTTGCAAAAACTTTCAGCCGACTTCCCAGAACTTAATACGAATTTACAAAACTTATGACAGGGCGCCTCGAGCATGCGTCATCAGAGCTAACTAGTTTTGAAAGACACACTGTACAGTAAATCTGTTTAAGAGCTCACATGGAAGTGGGGCAGACGTCTTTACAAACATTACACACGCAAACGGTTTGTTCGACGTTGCTCTGGGTCAATTAAGGTAAGTCCAGTATAAATATCTATCAGCCTGGCTGGAAATGTACACACGGGCCTGGTCTCGCGTTTGTTATCTATCTGCTCCAGCGGTATCCTTCCATTGTGTAGTGAGACTGAAAACACTGCAATGAGACACAACTACAGTTCACAACAAGTGACATATATCACGACAATGAATTCAAAGAACTCTAATTGACTTTTTCATCAAAATAAGCACTTATTAATGCATCAATTTAATAATCTGACAACACAATACCCTTTTTTTTTTGACGAGGGTAATAATTTAGACTTAAACCTGAATTTGAACAGCAGCTGAATCTTAATCTCACATCTAGAAGTTTGTTTCTTTTTTACTTAAAATATTAATTTAAACTAATTTTAGTTTAAAAAGTTAACTATTTAAATTTTTTTAAATAAAAAACCTTGTGAGGAAAGAATTGGGAACTTATAACTTAATAAATAAATAACATAGAGATCTAAGAAGTAACATACCTAAGATCAGAGGGTTCTACAATTTTGCAAATAAATAATAAAAACAAACTGCCTGATATCCATGTACTTCTAATTAACCAATGCTAAAAGGAAACAATGACTGGTGTAATGCTAGTCTGGGTCTCCACGGCTATTAGCCCCTTTCGGCTGGTTTAAATGGCACACCACTCTGTGGCCCAAACAAAACCACCTGTTTTAACAGGAGGTCAAGAGGGCAACCCAAAACCAAAGCTTGCCCTCCGCTTGACTGGCTGCTAATGGGAGTGGATGTTTATCTTGGGGGTCAAATGCCTTGAAGATGGGGTCACGACCCTAACATCTTAAGCCGTGACCTCGCCCACGTGTGGAGTGCTCCTGCCGTAAATTAGCCATGGTTGCATGTCCTCAGGCCTCAGTGAACACACATTTCTGTCTTTTTCTAGTTCTCATGTTACTTTGTGTACAGAGATGTATAACATCTGACTAAAACAATAAACCGTACGACTATTGAAATTAGAAAGTGTTTTTCAAACACATATCCTAAGGGATATATTGCAAAAAGAATAAAATATTGCAAAATATTGCAAAAAATCAGAAATACAAACTCAAACTTACTGTACATTTTATGAGAATACAATTGAAAATTAATTTAAAAAAACATTAATCATTAGTCCAAAAATAATGACCAATATTGATAGAATTGAAAAATACAAGTCTAAATTCAATCATCATATAAAGCGATCGAGTCTGTACAGAAAATTTGGACTAAACAGCTCAATTCATTTAGACTAGTTTTAAAATCTCTTTATGAACTTTTTGATGCGTCAAAGTGGAAGTTGCGTAGCTGTCAACGGAGGGACTGAAAGCTCTCAGATTTCATCAAAAAGATCTTCATTTGTATTCCGAAGATTAACAAAAGTCTTACCGGTTTGGAACGACATAAGGGTGAGTAATTAATGACAGAATTAAAATTTTGGGGTGAACTAACCCTTTAAAATTACATTAGCTTTTTTTTAAACTACTAAAAGAATTGGGAAATACAAACTTAAACTTACATATTATAGAGCAATTATTGAAAAATATTGAACAATGGGGAGGATATTGAAGAAATTCTGAAAGAATTTAAACTTACATATAGAGTGGTGCAGGTATGACATCAGAACCCGGAAGTCTAATTGGCCACTGGTTCCTTCAAGACTTTCCTTTGGGTTTTATAATGGGGGTTTTCGATTTGTGTGTAAAATAAAGCCTGTGGAAAACATAACTTACCAATACTTTGATGTTTTGTTCTACAACGTAAATTACACATACCCATAGCGAAAACGTTAATTTTGAAGCACTTTTGTTCATTTTTGAAAACTTACATTTTTAATAAGTCACCAGATAAGACAATTTGTGTGTGTACATTGTACGTTGTAAAACAAAACGTCAAAGTATTTTCAATTTATGTTAAAAAAACAAAACGTTATAAAACCCCCATAGGAAAATCTTGCAGGAACCAGCAGCGAATTAGACTTCCAGGTTCTGGCGTCATACCTACACCACTCTATAATGAGAAAAATATAGAAAAAAAACAGCAAACATTAAGAAATTCAAAATGAAAAACTAGTCATTTGTTCCACTAGTTTATTTGAGTTTTCTGGTTACTTAGATTGAATTTAAATGTTCTTTTCCAGCAATGTCTGCTAATATTGATAGGTAGCTCTGTTATTGTCTAGATGAAGTGGCTGTGTTTGCTGGCCTGCACCCCTTTGCCCTGGCAAGACTGTGGGATAAATTTAATTACTGACTTTAGCTCCTCTCAGAAGCCCCACTTTCACCATCTGTGTATGAGGTCAGGCTCTCTTCAGATGGCTTTTAATCAAGGGGGCTCCAGCAATGCTCCACTGCTTTAAATAAGACAGAGGAGGAAACCTGATCGGCCTGTGTGCAGGTCAGAGATGAGGAGAGAGAGAGACTCCCACGTCTTTCTTCCTCTTGTTCTCTCGCTGACGTCTCTTATTCACCATCGAATCAAAAAGAAAACCTAACTTCGCAGATTAGGATGTTAGCAGGACGCTCCCTGCTGAATAGGCTTTCAGAACATCAAAACTGAGGATTTCGGCGGGCCGCGGGGAAACGCGTTTCTGTGACTGTGTCGTACTTATCCTCACAAAAAGCTCAAAGGCTCCGGGCCTTTGTGTTCTCACCAAGTCAAAGTGATTCACACGCTCCCGTTTTGCAACCTGCCGTCTGCCAGATACCACGGTTTTCCTACGAAGCGCTAAAGCTCACGTTTTACGGCTTTATCTCCGCCGTCTTCGGGTTACACTGCGTTTTCACTCTTTTTATCGGCACCTCATCAAAGCGCAAGTCGAGTCCGTACGGAACGCAAGGAACGGCGGATGCGCACGCTGCCAACTCTCAGACTTCACTGCCACAATTTGCGCGCGAGAGGAAATGAATGTAATTAAGGTGCTCAGTTTGCCTGGCGAAACAAAGTGCGCTTCTTGTCTTCCAAGAGAAAGCTTGTGTTTGTGCCGCTGTCAGTGCAGGATGGATCCCCTGCCGCCTTCTGCCAATTAACAGGCGCTCAATCAAATATTTGCACCGGACTTTTCCACAGGAATTTTAACTCATTATATTTTTGACATAAACAGAAAATTCACTCACAAATGAATTACGTATTAACATGTAATGTCTTTTTTCCCCTCAATTTGCATGTTTTATTTCATTGAGAAAAGTGTGGCAGAATGGAAGCAGAGGATTCAGTTTTGAGTTGCACAGGCCGCACTTATATTATTATAAACATGAAATGAACTAAAAAAGTACAATCCATAATTTGCGATGTACATTTTGGTGATCACATGGGTGTCGTTCGCATCTTTATACATTCAACAGATTTAGTGAATTCAAAACGGGACTTACCTGCATGCACGAAGTAGGCCAAGTACAGGTCGAGCTCCTTTACGGAAACTCCTATGTGATGCGGCTGCACGCACAACCCTGGGTTCGAGCACTGCGGAGACTTAACCAGCCTTTCGCCATCAGTACTTTCAAGCGGAATACCTTTGAATAAAATCACCATGACCAGGTCCAAGCGCCACACTTTGTCCGCCTGACGCAGGCAGTCAATTCTCCTCATCTTGCCCTTCTGGTCAGGGTTTGAGAGCACACAGCAAGGGGGCTTCTTCCCAGTGACAGTGAGCACAAAATCCTCGCGGAACTCCGGCCGGATGTCCTTGCGGAGTTTGGCCAGCAGCCGCGATGCCCACTTCTGCTTGACCTCCGGCTTCTCGCTGAGCAGCTCGTCCTTCACGGCTCGCTCCTCTTCCTTAGACATGCGCTTCTCGTGCTTCTTGAAGTATTTTCTCTTGCGGGCCTGCAAGTTGAACCAAGTGTAGGAAAACGCTCTCACATGGGGCAGCAGTGCTTCAATGAAAGGATGGAATTCATCCTGCGAAAAAGGACAAGGAAGCAGAAATTAGTCCACATGGACGCTATAAAACACAGTTCAGGTTTCAGAAAATCCTGAAAAATATATTTAAAAATATACACTTAAAAATATAAATGTAAACTAAAAGTTCTCACAATTTTGTTTCTAATAAAAAAAAAACAATTCAAACCAGGTGAAGTACAAAAACAACAACAGATTTTTCACAGCAGACACCATGAAAGCTAAACACGTGCATCTACATAAAATCCCATTTGATTATTTTGAAAAACGGCCCTCAACAGCAGGAGTGTTTCTGTGAACCGAGCAGGGCAGTCAGTGTGTGTGTGTGTGTGTGTGTGTGTAGCTCGTCTAGGACATATCTTGGCTCTCTGGCAAGAATGCTGGTCTTTAGGGGTCTGCCAGGGCCGAAAAAAAGCAACAACCGACCAGGAAAATTGGAGTGGCTATTTTTATCTGTTCTCCGTAAAAAATGCGCACACGATTCCAAAAACCGCGCTACTTCATTCGCTATCAGCGAGGAGTGTGTTGTTTTCACACAGGAGTGTGTGCGGGGCAGATTGTGCCGGGTTTTGGGATCCCTACACCTGCCGCTGGTGCACAACCTGGCAGAAAATCAATTTTTATAATAAAATGACAAAAAGACCAGAAAAATATCGTCCGCAACATTAACGCATCTCTTTGTACACACTCAAAGTCTAGCGGAGGATATAATCATGCAGGGATTTTTTTTTTTTTTATCTACAAAGGGAAGTATATTTTAATATTAACAGGATATTACTAAATCACCTGAAATGAAGTTATTTAGTAAAGCTGCATAATGTAATAACTGTAAACTTAAGGAAATATTATTAAATAAACTAAGCATTTTTAAAACTGTACATATGCTCGACTGAGCAATTATCAAAATAATAAAAAGCCTATACTGTATGTGCAGTTCTTTATCTGTAGGCTTGCATGACCACTTCTTTATTGCCTAAAGAAAAACAAAACAAATAAACACTAATAACTGGGCAAATAAATAACGTGTGGTTTCTAATATGAAATAATTTGGGATTTTACACCGAAAATAACTCAGGGTTTTTATTACATAGAGAGAATAATGGCAGACTGCCAATCACTAGAATAACATTTCCACAAACAGCAATAGCCCTGCATCGTGTCCCAAAACCGACCGTGCGAGTACGAGAGGGCTGCCAGCAAGCAAGCAAAGTGCACTATGTGCTGAGCGCAGATTTCATTTGAATAAGCACAGATATGAATATAACGCGCTGGGCCTCGGACCAGTGCCTTTAGAAATTTAACAATTAATTCTGAGTAATTTAGGAATGTTAATTAAATTAATTTCTCAGGCCAATTTCAAGCACTGCTGCTAATGTTTGTATCGTAATTAAAAATAATCACAATATACCATCAAGCAAAAATAAATAAATATTACACACAAAAAAACACACATAATTTTGGACGTGTATTAAGCTGTAGATTAAAATAAATATGGCACTGTTTGTGTAAGATTACTGCATGTTAGTCGTAGACTCAACAACAGACTCCATATAGATACATATTGCCATATCTCTTTTGTTACACCCCAGGAAATCAAGGATTTGCATAAGCATATATCATTATTATAGTGTACGGAACAATGTCTGTGTGTCTCTTGTAAGACACCAAAGCAAATGTATATGTTTAATCATATTGTTTCCTTCCTGTCTTGTTTAAGAATCAAACTCCCTTGCCTCCGAGGCATAAAAACTGTATTGTTTCATCCTGCATTTAAACCAGTGAATGAATTTCCTTATCTGCCTTCAACTGACTCTCCAAGTAACTTAATCCAAAGTCTGTGATTAATAACTGATATCATCTATGGTTGTGGCTTTTTATACATATATATATATTATGTGTTTTTATTAATTAAAAAAAAAAAAGATCTGTTGCAGACTTGTCTACACTCTTGTAAAAAAATCAATATTGAAAATCTCCAGACGAGAATCAAGCTCTCTACAGTAAAACATGGTTAACTTAACTTTCTGCGGTGCTCTAGAAATGTTTCTAAATAAAAGGAACGATTGCTAGAATTATGTGGTGATTGATACACAACAGAACGCAATTTAACATGCAAATTATTCATGTTTGAGATTATTATGAGAGCGTTTTCTTCTTGTTATAATTCTAGCAATTTGCGAAAACTGAACTGTAGGAAGATACTTGCTCATAGTGGCAAAACAAACAGCTCTTTGCGTTTAGGAGCGTGCTTGAGTGTCAGTATAGGGTCTGGTTAGCATGTCAGGGTTTTCCAGACTCCTAAAGTGTTTCAAGCTGAACCTCGCTGTCCTATAGTAAGGCCTCAGCAGGGAACAATAGTGCCTTGTGGCCAAAAGAGACAAGAGAGTGTTAACGCATGTAAAAATAGTACGAAAAAAAACAGACAATGTTAATGCACACGTCTCTAAAAAGACAACTAACGTGACGTTAATTCAATAACTAACGCAAGAGATAAAAGTATATTTCTGCATCAACTAAAATATAGGAAGGAGTTGAAAAATGTGTTTTGATTTTAAGGATTTTACTATGAAATGAAAGCTATATAAAGACGTGATTTTTTGGCACTCAGAGGACTATTAAAGACGACACACACAAACACACACACACACGCAGAGAGAGAGAGAGAGAGAGAGAGAGAGAGAGAGAGAGAGAGAGAGAGAGAGAGAGAGAGAGAGAGAGAGAGAGAGAGAGAGAGAGAGAGAGAGAGAGAGAGAGAGAGAGAAAGTAGCCTTAACACCGTAACAGAGAGGAAATCAATGGTCCGTCTCAATTATCTTCGATACAACTATGATTATTAGACCTTTTTAATAATATCACTGTTATATTACTTACATTAGTACTAATTTAAAAGAAAGATAAAAAAAATGCTTTAACATTTTTGTAAGACTTTAAACTACATTATTCATCTAAATGTAGCATTTCACTTATTTTTAATAAGTACTGTTAGTAACAAATATTTATAGTCAAGTAAATAAAATATATGAGCTACATGTGAGTTTTTATGTGAGGTGTCAGTTAGCGATAATGTGTCACATTTATAGTGATTGACAAATTATCAAAAGCTTCCCTACGGTTCTGCATGGATTTATAACAGAAGAAAATAAGCCCTAAAAGAAAAACTGAATCCAAGAAAACCTGAATCAAATCCAAGTCTTGCATTATCAAATCTATGAAAAGACGACTTAAAGTTTGAGCTTTCTCAGCTCGTCTTTCTGTGCACATTACACATAATTTGTCTTTTTTCGCATGAATCCTCTCCAGTGTCTCCAAACAGACTGTAACTAACATGGTCAAAAGAACGGCCCTATACGTGACACAATACTGAGGCCTTCTCCTTTGTTTTGTGCATTCAATAAAACGCATTTAACCAAACAGTTTAAAATCACATGAAGTCTACAGTATAACACTACAGCTTTTCCAGACCTGTCACCTCAGTTCACCTGCCACCATGATTCAGACAATGACTGGATTTCTTTTTAAACCTCCTTTAACCCTCTCGGTTGCTGTTAAACTTTATTCCACTTTAGTTTTTATTCTGCGCCAATTACAAAAGTATGATAAAACCACAAACAAACAGCCCAATGCTTTCATAATCTTACTGTTTAGGTTATCAGACATGACAGCACCAAAGCTAAAACAGTCTTAACTTTTAGATTACACACACACACACACATATGTATATATATATGACAGTGAAGTTTGCTAAAATCTAATCAAAGAGTTTCTGATGACTTGAGAAGAAAAAGTATCATATAAGAGAGCAGAATTATTGTTGGAAGCTGGTTTATACTCAAGTTAAAACTGTAAACGGCATAGTTGCATTGATATTTAATAGTAAAAAGCAACTAAATATGACTATTCTGATCTCAAATGTGCTTTAAATGTGTGTGTTTTAAACTTAAATGGTCACACTCTTAAAAAATAAAGTTCCTTAATAGAACCAACCAGAAAAACAGTCTGATGTCACAGGAGAACCTTTTAAAGTCCTGCAAAGAGTTTTTTAATGTTGCCTTTCTTTAGATTTCTGGCGCTTTAAAGAACTTAAAAGTGCAGTGTACTGGTCTGAAAACTTACAAATGTGACATCAAAAACTTTTCCAAAAAAAGGAAAAACCTAAAGCAACTTATTTACAGAGGTTTTTTTGTTGTTGTTGCTGAAACTGTTTAATAACTTTATTTTTAAAAGTGTAACCAAATCAACTGCAGAACGTTGACTCTGCAGGATTAGAGTAACGTTTTCTTTCATGCACAACACTATTTAAAGCTTAACTTGCTACATAAAATCAACGTCTCTCCATACGCAAAAGCGGCTAGAATAAAATACAACTGTATATAAATGTGCATAAGAAACATTAATGTGTGAGGTGGGCGCCATACGCCATGTGGTAGTTCAGTTGGCTCTGTCAGAGCAGAAATGCCTTACTACACACTAAGTAACTTGTCTTAAGCAAAGGTTAGCCCCTATCCGTGCTGTCCCGACCAAAGACACCGCTCAAATACAACAAACAGAGTTAATAATAGACGAAAATGTCACTTACCTGTGTTAGGCATAGCGGAGAATACATATCTGTCGGTTTTAACTCTTGAATAGGCGATGTTGTGTGTGTGCGTGTGAGTGTGTGTGTGTGTGTATGTGTGTGTGTGTGTGAGAGTGAGGGTGTGTATGTGTGAATGTATGGGCTGTGTATGTATATGTGTGTATGAAAAGAGAAAAAAAGAGAGACAGAGAAGAAGGGAGAGAGGGAAAATAAAGCCTTGCTTCTTGCTTTCACATTTCCAACTCTGCGAAGTGCGCGCGACGCTTCAGCGCTCCATAGAGCTGAACTTTAACCCCGCCTCGAGTTACACACATCTACTGTACTGTACTGTTAAAGCCGTATATCCAAACTTTCGGCATTATCATCAACTGTAGCAAAGAGAAAAGTCCCGACGACGGACGGATGGATGGAAGTACAGTAGCCTACACGGAGATTTCACAGAGCCATGAGTGAAACTGTGGTGATGAACCGCCGAAAGGAGCGATTATTTCATCTTGCGGGCATTTGAATAGAAACAAAAAGATAGAAAAAGTTGTCCGGATGCGTTACAAAAGTCGCGTTTGATTCATTCTTCGCTGTCTCTTATAGCGCCGCGCCGCGCGCTTGCATCCGCCGTGAGGCATGTGGCGGTGCGAAGCAAAACTGAAGCGGATTTACGAGCAGCGAGGAGGGCTCGGCATGCTTAGGAAGATTGTAATATCCTTAAAACCCCCTGTTGCAAAAGCTGCCACTTGTGTCGTGGTTAGTTTCGACCTGAGAGAGAGAGAGAGAGAGAGAGCGAGAGAGAGAGAAAGAGAGAGAGGGAGGAAAAAAGTGAAGCGCGCACGATTCGAGTCCGCTGAGACGAAGCTCCCGTTCAAACTCTTGGGCTCTCCCATCAGCACAGCGCCCTCAATATCGGCACGAGAGTCATACACATGCGGGACAGGAGAAATATGCACTCCCAATGCCGCTGCACTTCGTAAACATGAAGTATTGTAATGCAGAAAGTGTGATAATGCATTTGACTTGCATGTTTTGACATTCTATGCACCGAATCTGTATCGCTTTATTTTAAACACAAAGCCTAAGCTACTTTACATAAAGAAACGTTTGGAATAATAAGACGTGCGAATAAAATCATTTTCAGATTTAACATATCAATACATTTAATGCAATTCTTGCAAAAAGCGCAGTAGCCTAGGCTAAGTGCAATCAAATAACTGCTTCTACCTGCATATTAAATACATTTTAAAAGCACTAAGTAAAATGTAACAACATTTAATAATAATAAAAAACTGATTATAGCGACATGCTTAATGCGTAAGACGAACAACCAATCAGTAAATTAATGAAGTCTCACGAGCCTTAATTACAGTTCTTGCTTCATTTCGAGACGGACATGACGAAGGCAATAACTTTAGTTAGTACGCGAGATTCATACTTATTGATAATTATTTTGACTCACTAAAAGAATCAGTTCAAAAGAGTCAATCGTCTGGGAATCGCTGTATGTAGTTGATTCACTAAAAAGAATCGGCTCAAATGAGTCATTCGTTCGGGAATCGGAATACATTGTTCGCTCTCAGTGTTTTTAATCAAGTAAAAAGAACTCATTCATTCAGTAGGCTAATCGTACTATACTGATCGCGCAATGTTTATGATTAACTAAAACGAACTGAATAGAACGTCATCCGATTACTCAGGACAAATCGCTATAGCCTAATCAGAAAAAAAGAAGAAAAAAATCTGCAATAAACCAATGTTTTTTTTTTCTTCATGCTCACGTAATATGTCTATTCGACCCCAAGTAGGCTATAGCCTAGGCTAGTATTTCTATCTGCACGTGATCAGTATTGTTTTCCAATATTTTGAAACGGCTAGTTTAAGCACCAATGTTTTCAGTATCATCTTTCACTTCTGTGAGCCCCGTCATGAACGTATTGATATGCGGCTGACAGGTTCCTTAACAGCATATGCCTATAATTAATAGGCCTATTTATATGTGGGATTTTGATTTTTCAAAGAGCCATTAGGAAACACCACACAAAATGAAACTGCACGTTTTCAAAAACGTCAAACCTAAACAGGCTCATGATTTAAAAACAAGGTGGACACTGATGGACAAGAAAGCGACTGCCAATACAATATTATGTTTCTAATCACGTGTGTCGTACGTGCAAACATCATTAATAAGAAAACCTGGTTCGTGTAATTAGTTTGGTTGGCACTCAACAGTTTTATTATTAACCATGCGACTACTCTCGCTGTAAGTCAATCGGGCGCCCCCTAGAAAACGGATCCATTTACAGAAAGTGTTTCAGAAATACAGGATGGTATTCTAAACGAGATATCAATCTGTTGGGGAAATAAAAAACAAAACAAAAAACACACTACATTCCAGAAAGCAAGCATATGTGCATACATGGATCGAGATTTATGAGCATTACACCATGAAACAAACACCAAGGTGCGTTTTGTCAAATGCAAAAGTGTTAATTAATATAGCACTGTGTGTGATAGAAATGATAGGAAACTGCATATTAATTATGCTCGCAACTCACAGTCACACTAACTTGCTGCAGGTGCAGGTCCGTCCCTCTGGTGTTTTCATGAGCTACTCTGTGATTGGGCAAAACACTGAAATTCAATGCTCACAGTACCGTCGCTATTGGGCAAGTTTCACACGCACGCATGTGACAACCACTCCTAGACAGACACTCGGGATCTCGGTAAACAGCCTCGCGGAACACAAATAAATTCGATTAGGAAGAGAGAGCGAGAGAGAGAGAGAGCGCTTATCTTCATGATATCTTTTTTTTTTGACAGCCTGACGAGAATGCAATCTGTGCAACACGTTGACATGTGTCGTTTCAAACTTTACGATGTAGGCTACTAAAAAACTATTTAAATAGGATAATAGATCGCCTATAATACCAATTATACTGTATTTATTCTTTCCAAACATCTTGTATTGTCTTGACCTTGAGCAAAAGGGAAGTGATACCTGAACTATAATCCTGTCAATCTTGTAGACTATAGCCTATATTAGCTATATAGTTTTCTTAAATTTAACTTGGGGTTGCAATAAAATGTATTAGCACGTAAAGACCTTCTCTGATAGAGTATTTAAAACATTTAAAGAAATTTGCTTTAAAAATGGACGAATGGCCTTCACTCATAAACATACAAACGCTCATTTTTGTACTTATGCAAAGAAAAATTGGTTCTTTGAAAGAAAAAAAAAGATTCTTCACTCCTGGGTATTTTGACAGGTATCCAGTTGTGCACTTTAACTGCATTCTGTAGAACAAAAGTTGCAACAATCTTAATTTGAACGTTTCAAATTGAACTTTGGAACGTTTCTCGTCGTCTCGCTTGTGAAGTCATGAAAAGGTTGTCGCGTGGCAGCGTTCATTTTAACACATGAACCGCGTGTCGAAAAGGCAGTCACCTGTATTTAATCATGCAGCCTTTACAACTTACTTCAAAACGGCCTAGAAACGCCAAGAGAACTGGATCAATGAATCCAATAGGCCTAATCAGATTTTCACTGTAATGTTTTCAGAAATTAGGCTAGCCTAATAAACATCAAATATTTGTTGATGTGTGGAGCATCCTCAAATACCCACTCAGGCCTAAATGTGCTTAGGTCTGAATTCAAAGTTATTACAGCCTTACATTTAGACGTCATTTAATTTAGATTTACGCATTGATTTCAGCACTGATTGGCTGAACAGCGCCTTATAGGCCTGATGACGAACTCTAATTTGGCGGGAAGAGTCAGGTGAACTGAAAACTATCAAAAAAAAAAAAAAAAAGCAGTTTAGTAGCCTATATATTTTTTTTAATCAGTGACAATATATGTAGATTAGAGAAATTTACGACATTCTGTGTCAAACTTTATATTCACTTTGAAAAAGTGTAAATTAATGCCATTGAACGATAATCTAAATTACCTTGAATTTTTAACACTAGGCTATTAGGTTTAAATATGGCATTTAATTCAGACTCTATATAGACAATAGTCCTATTTTAAATCGTGGTATTATATATATATAAAGTGAATATATTAACCAAAAAATTGTTGTGTTGTCTATAAACAATGAGTTACAAAACCTACACCGTTTATTCAGGTTTATTTTCCATTGATCCTTTATGAAGCAAGACGAATGTTACCAAGCATTCAATCTCGAATAACAAAAAAAACTTTTATAATAAAATAATTAAATGTATAATAAAATTCTAAAATTCACATATTTGTCTCGTTTAATTGTGGCAGACATTAGAGACGCCTTTATTGCATTTTCTGCCAAGTTCTAGGAGAAGCTACTGAATGCCAAGGCAACTGTGCCAAGGATTTTGGAGGCAGAGTGGCAAAGACGAGGCAAAAACTGCAGTGTGTAAAGGACAACGGAGCGAACTAGGGATTTAACTCTTCGAAAGAAACCAGAATTTGGGTTTTATGGTGCATTTTCAACTCATCTAAGTCACGGGATCAAATCAGGTATAAGGCACCTAATCAACTTGGATGGAGCTTCTCCTCAACTTGAGTGGTGGACGTGAGTACAAATCACTTTTTTATTCGAGATTAAAACTAGAAGAAAAAAAAAGAGAATAGCCTATGCGATAGTTTTATTTGAGGATCCGGGCTTTAGCGGGAGCGAAAGCACATCGATGCCAGACGAGTCTGCAAGAGAAAATGTGTGTGTGTGTGTGTGTGTGTGTGTGTGTGTGAAAGAGAGAGAGAGAGAGTGTGTGTGTGTGTGTGGAGGGAAAAAAGTGCGCTCTGAAGTTTCACTGCACATCTCGATAGTCTTCAGGGGTAAAACTGCTTAAAACTCAGCGTTAGATCGCCATCTAATGAAAAACCACCCTCAAACTTGTTGTGTAAAAAGTATAGCCTAAATAGGCTAACGCAGCAGGTTATTTATTTGGCTATCAATGTTGTTTATCACTTTAATATTAGCCAAAATCAGTAAAGTATGCACATCTAAATATAGCTGCGGGAACTTGTGAATGACAATTTTCATTTTAATTTAAAAGAAAAGTGTAGCCTACATCACGAAAAAATTCGGAAGGTGTCAATATTGCATTTGAAAATGTATATTCGCGTGCACTTCTCATAAAGTACGTGCCTTAATTTATATGCAAATAAATGAAAGCAGCAACTCGAAATATTGACATATTTAAATGATTGTAGTTTGCATAAAGGCATTCTTGTCAAAATCACCCGTAGACTCTTTTATGCAGGATGCGTCAGTTGAAAACGAATTGTAAAATGATGAGTTCCAGCTCAAATCATACTCAAATATAACAAAACAATAAAAAATACAATGCAAATGAGTTAAGGGAAATTATAGCGAGAGATACACACACCCATATAAAGATGAATAAATCTGATGTGGAAAAATACGCTTTCTCTGTAACCATATAGTGACCATTCAAAAAAGAGAGCAATAAAGAAAAGATGTTTTTGTAAAGGTAAATGTAAAATAATATAACATCTAAATAATAAAACTAACATCCAAATAGATAGATCAAATTATACTACCACAATATATACAGATGGCCTAGATAAAATGATGCTACCATTAAACCCAAATAAGTGAAAATATGCATTACAAGTTAAGTAAATAAACAATCATATTATTTTCCGATATTATTATTATTATTATAATAAAGATGTATCACCATATTACCTCATGCATAATACCAAAATATTTTGTCATAAAAACCATTAGGCATTTTATTATTATTATAATCGTCGTTATTATAATTATAAATATGATTTAGAATTTAAATGATTATTTATAATAGACTCAATGCTCATCATTGCTTTAGCCCGAATTCCTCCTCCATTCTATCCGATGAGGCATCAAATATAGGTAGAGACTCCACCTAGAGG